GGGAGCTGGGATTGACATGTGAAGCATGCATGTTTCCAATTTAAATAAAAACATATTGAGAAATCCGAGCACTCGGGAGGCAGAGGCAGGCGGATCTCTGTGAGTTCGAGGCCGGGCTGGACCGATAGCCTCCAAAACAATACAGAGAAACCCTGTCTCATAAAAACAAAAAAAAAATTGAGAAAAAATGGCTCCATCTTATTAACCCTAGTTTTCTACCCTCTACTAACTGTAAGTCAGAAGCAGTTAATTAAAAATAAAGCAGAATGTGAGGTAGCAGGGAAATTGACAGAAGAATAAAGTGGCATATAAAAAACAAAACAAAAACCCTTTTAAAAAAGTTGAGCCTGGTTGTGCACACATATGATCCCAGCACTTGGAGAGCTGAGGCTAGAGGATCAACAGTTTTAGATTAGCCTCAGTCACACAGCAAATTTGAGGCCAGCCTGGACTACATTGAGACCTTATTTGAAAACAAAAAAATTAAAAACTATGAATACCTGATAAAAATTAGAGTAAGTTAATGTAGAGGTAATTTAGTAAAGGTTTAGTATTAAAGAACTATATAATTAAGGATGATTAAAAATCAAATCAATGCCTTTAATCCCAGCACTCGGGAGGCAGAGGCAGGTGGATCTCTGTGAGTTCGAGGCCAGCCTGGTCTACAGAGTGAGTTCCAGGACAGCCTCCAAAACAATACAGAGAAACCCTGTCTCGAAAAACCAAAAAAAAAAATAAAATCAAAAAATTTAATTAAAAAGTATTTAAAATTTTGTTTTTAACATTTCCTGAGTGTGGGGCACAATCATGTTACAGTGCACATGTGCCATGGCATACACAAGTGTGGATATCAGAGGACAATTTATGCGATATATATATATATATTATATTATATCCATCCATTCCCTTCTGCTATGTGAGCCCCAGGACTGAATTCAGGTCATCAGCTTTGGTGAGTAAGCATCTTCACTCACTGAGACATCTTCTATTTAAATTTGAGTTCACTACTGAATTGGAAATTTATTGTACAACTAGGTTTTAATTAAAAATGAAATGAAATTTTTCTTGACAAAGCCAAACGCTTCAATATAGTCAATTAAAAAATAAGAGCTCTTCTCTGGGCAATAATGAATCAAGTTACAAGGTACTGAACTTTCTGAAACTGTTCTGTAAAAACACTTGTGTTGCTTAAGCTTCCAATAGATGCCTTGTGAAAACAGGGTTCTGACTTCAAGTCCCACATTCTATTTTTGTTGTTTTGCTTGTTTTGTTTCATAAAGACAGGATCTTACTATGTACCCCTGGCTCAAATATGGTTTTGCAGCTTCACTGTGTAAATCATCTTAAAAGTTTAAAAATTATGAAGCAAAGATATTAGTTAATATTTAACTCCACATTTTTTAAACTTACTGATTTCATATGCTCTTATTTTTTAAGGGGAGAAGTTGATTGCTGGGTCACATATATCCTTTAATAACAACTTCAGAACCTCTGGAGACTTTGAGTGTCTCTAGAGTTTTCTCTGTAAAATACTCTATAGTATTTAGAGTTTTTAAAATACCAACACCTTGCAACAGACAAAATCCAAAGGTCTACATTTCTAGACAGGAAATCCTATTTATCCATGGTCCATTCGAAAATCAAAATAAATGTACTTACAGTAATGGGAAGGGAGATGTGTTATATTAATTTTCTTAAAAGTAAACTGAACAAGAACTGATTAACCCTAAATTGTGAAAATATGTATATATCTTGTTTTGATAAACTTTAGAAAATCAAAATTATATCTATTCATGCTATATATTGACTTTAACCCTTTCATCACAGATACATTACCTTCAAGAGATCAATGTACAGGCCATCCTGTATTTCACTGATCATAAGACAGTATCATGCGTAAGGTCTACTATCATTTTATTTAACACTAAGAAAAAAACTGGCCTGCCAGTTTATGACACACCACCTGGTTTGTACAATGTTACAATGTACACACTTCTCTGACCTCCTTTTCCTAACATGCCCCTCATGATACTCTTCATTGGTTTTTATCCTTTCAAGATATTATTTGGAAAGAACACAAAAAGGACAAGACTGAAGAGATTTCTGTTTATCTATGTATATTCAGATATTATACTGATTCTGTTTAAAATGATCAAAGCAAATAAGTAATTTTACCTGCTTTCCTTAATTCTGGAAAAAATACCCAAGAAGACAGTTCTATGAGCAAGTTATTTATAAGTATTATTTAATAAACACAAATCATAGATTATACAATTACTTTACACACATTATTATTTCATTTAATTCTCATCACAACTCTGAAATCAGTATTTTGAAGACTCAAGTGTAGACACAGCAAATAACCTTGATATGGTTAGAAAGCAATTCAAAGACAAGGCCAAGACACATGCCTTTATAGCTCCATTTTTTTTTAAACTTTGGCAGGAAGCAAATGATCTGACAAAGTTAATTCTAAATTTCAAAGTGATAAAGCTGGAATTCTTAACCATAAATGGTAACTAAGTCATTCACTTAGAATAGATCAACTGAACTAAATGATCACTACATGCTATATGTGCATATTTTCTTCTGAACTTGTTTTATAATATGTACATAGTGAATTTGTTGAATATACTTATTTAGTTGAATCTTGACTCATTTTACTTAGCAAGTAAGATTTATTGTTTCTATTTTCCTTGTGTTTATGATCTTTGGTATTAAACTGATAAATCAGACTGTCTGAGCAGCTGATGTTTGTTCCAAATTCATGATACAACTAGTCATTGATTAAATCTAAACAACATACTGGTGGGCATGAGAATGTGTTAATACTATGTAGTAAAACTTAATCACTTAATTTTCCTATGATATGAATTCAGAGAATGGGATGTAAATACACATACACATGCACATACACACAATTGTGCAACTGTATGTCAATGCTTAAAATGTATTTTTCACCAAAAACACATTAACAATTGAACACTATTATACTTATGCATCATTAGAGAGTCAAGCAAATATTATCCTTCATTACAATCTGAGGTGCTGGGCCTACAGCATCCAATGTGTAATGAATGAATTAGGCCACTCTGACTTTACCTATCACTTATATCCTGGCATTACACATGTTCTTGAGCATTGAAGGATAGAGCAAATCTTGTAAACTGTGACCATGGTATAAATTTTTTAGTGGATGATAATTAAAGGAAAACTTTAAGAACAATTCTGCAATCTGGACTTCTGGATAAATAATATGCTACACTTCTATTTATTTTACAACTTACCAAGTCAAATCCTTAGTTCAGGAGTGCACATCTAAATAAATTATGTCATTTTTCTTATGTAAAATTTCTTATGTAAAATTTATTTTGATTTCCAGAAATGTCGTAAAGAAAGGCCAAGTGTGCCTATACTTGCTTCTTTGGATAAACACTTTTACCTCATTATCTTAAAGTTCAAAGGAACACAGGAAGTTTTACGTTTTGGATACACTGTACTAACACAGGATCCAGCTGCCAAAATAAAGCAGGTTTCTAGATTTAAAAAAAATGTCCTGTAATAGAATCACTGAAAACAATGAAGTATTCAGTAATGTGTCATAGTTACTTGACAGTTAACATGGACTACCTGTCCTTGCCTCAGATCTTCACTTAGGGGAAATTAAAAAATCTGAAAAGTGGTAAAAATGAAACAGGAAATGGAAAAGAACTTAATGAAACATTTGTTCAAAGTCAATCATAAATTAATACTTTCCCAACAGATTAAACTTAAGAAACCTATATAATACATATTAGTAACACTGTAGAAATCCTGCTGAGTTGCAGGAAAGATAAAATGAAACAGTAGGTACAGCACAGTACCTTTGCATATATAGTAGATGTTAAATAGGCTTGTATTTTATCTAAATGCATAATATACAGAAAAAGGATAAAGTAGAAGTAAGGGTTACTATATAATTTTTGAGGTTAAAAATGGCTGCATGTGGTGGATCTCTTGTGAGTTTGAGACCAGTCTGGTCTATAGCTAGTTTCAGGACTGCCTCCAAAGCCACAGAGAAACCCTGCCTCAACGCACACCCCCCAAAAAAAATGGCTCCATGTTCACCAAAGATCAACAACATAAAGTTCTCATGTTTTGTTATCAAATATAGTATTTTTCAATGCCTGCTAGGTACTTGTTATTTAAAGGAAGTCAAGGTGGCTATTTTTATGCAACACATTGTATTAAAACATTGTTCATATTATATACAATACATTACATTATGACTATTTTTAAAGACCAAAAATAACCTTCATTTTATTACTTGTACATTGTTTTCTATTTAGATTAGCATTTACCCCAATTCCAGTGCAACTAAGGAATACCATATACTTTAAGTTAGGCTTGCCATCTAGTGATATTTGTCCCTGACATCAGAGACAATGGATTTGTAGAAGAACCACAATTCCTTGATATCCACCCCGAAAACAGTCAAATATCAAAAAATGTACCTGCAACTTGGACATCTGATTATCTATTTAGGAAGTGTTTTGATTTTTTTTGTCTTCTAATAACTTGACTTTGCTTACATAGTACTTCATTATCCTAAATTTGCCTTAAACATTTGGCTTAGTTCTGGTTTATCATGTTATGACCCATGTTTGAGTTCAACCACAAGGGGTTTTGTTTTGAACACCATGAGACTTGTGTGCAGATTTAAAGCAGGAAGGGTGGTATGAAGGAATGCAGAAACTGCTTGTGTTTTAGAGGCACACAGGTCTTCTAAAATTGTTCATATTTCAAATAGGAATTAAAATGATAAAAACATAGATAAGAGTCATAAGCACCCTATTTCTGACCTTCATGATTCACTTAGCAGACATTTATTGAGTTCATAACACGTATGTGCCAGGCATTGTGAAAATTGCTGAGGAGTCGGAGAAAGAAAAAAGAGTTTGTTTTCAAGAGCTCAGTCTGTCTAGTAATGAGACCATAAATGTAATCCTATGTAGACCAACCTTAAAATCTTTTAGCGTGGAGGGGAAACTTCTGATGCATTTGCTCAAGTAGGTATTTCTTTAGAAACCTTGATATTTCTCTGGTAAAATACAATTATTCCCTGATGTGAGCCTACTGGGGAGGAGATGGCATAATAATGGGTATCAATATTAGCTCTTCATGAAAACTCTCAACTCTTCTCTCACTGGTTTCAATATTTTAAAATCATATCAGAATTTACTTGCAATAGTTTAACAACCAAAGGAAAGAGTATCTAAAGGCATTTGTTTAAGTCAACTTTTAAAAAACTTAGGCAACACCTGGGTCTGCCATACTTTATGCCAGAAAAGTAAGAAAAATTTTTAGAAATTACAATCTGTGAAATCGTACCCACCAGGCTTTAGAAAACACAGACACTGACACATGAATGTGCACCTGTGCACAAGCGCGCAAACACAATATATATGTATATCATTAATATATATTATGTATATTAATGCTTTTCCAAATCATATCTTACATTTGCCTATGAAGAATACATGATCTCTAACTATTATGTTTATGCCTTGACTCTTCACAAATGATTTGAAGCACCTATTCTAACATAAAGCATAGCATACAAATTGTATCTACCTGGCTTCAAATATGGCTCTGCCATTTACTAATTATAATCTTTGTGCTCTTAACTACTGAATTTAGTCTCTTAACCTGTAACAATGGAGACTACAAATCTCTGCTGAGTTGCAGGAAAGATAAAATGAAACAGTAGGTACAGTACCTTTGCATATATAGTAGATGTTAAATAGGCTTGTATTTTATCTAAATGCATACTACAGAAAAAGGATAAAGTAGAATTTTAAATTATTTCTGTCTGCATACTGACACATGCCAAGGAAAAATGTGGATTAACAATTTAACAAGCAAAGAAAACAAACTATCTAAAGGCAATTTGTTGAGGTATAGCTTTAATCTTAAATAACTTTTAATGTATGACTGGATTAATTTTGAATCATAATTGTTATTGTGTGTATTTAAAAAGCAGACTCATACTTGGGCATGGAGGCATATGCCCCATGCTTGGGAAGCAGATGCAAGCAGATCTCTGTGAGACCAAGGCCAGCCTGCTGTCCATAGTGAGTTCCAGGTGAGCCTGGGATGTCTCAAAAACTTTTAAAAAAATCCCATAAAACTAAATTAAAAAGCAGATTCTAAGTATACATAATTTCGTTGACAGGTGTAGTACTTTGGGAACATTTTAACCACCTTGATAACTGTATTTTTAAATGCATATTTTTCCTGAGGAAAAAAAATGAAGAGGTTCCCTTGCCACACTGTTTTTCACACTATCCACTCAAATGATGATTAAACATTCTAAATTTAACTTTGTTACTAAAGACTTATAGAATCATACTGGCTCTCAAATTTAAATAAAATTCTTGTATTTCTGTCAATTTTAAAAACACGATTTTTCTTTTTCTTTTTAACACTGGCCTGTCCTTTAAAAAACATGGCAACATATATCTATTCTTTTATATTATCTCTTTTATATTTTTGAGCAGCATTTAGATATTAAAGGCATTATCTAGTAGCAAGATATATTAAGTATGAGCTCGTATACTCTATTACAACTCTTCCTGCATTTAGGAAGATCAAATAAATATTTTTATATGATAGTGGAGTGACTAGGGAGAAAACCTGAAAAAAAAAACGATTTGATTGGACTCCTATCCTCCTCCCCTTCCCCCTCCAGGAGAATGTAAGTGTCCCGCATCTCACACCAAACTGAGCTTGAGTTTTACTGACGTAACCAGTAACCCTATCTACTGTCTCTCACACTGCGGAGGCCGGCAGGGGCAGCGGCTGCCGCCAAGCACACCACTCATCAGAGCCTGCCCCATTCCACCCCCGCGTTTCAGTCATGCTTTCCAGAAATGGGGTCACTCGCTCAGTAACTATTACACACACCCAGCCTATCATCCTGTAATCCCCTAAAGTCCGCTGCGAGGATAGAAGGCAGCGAAAAGTCAAGAAAGAAGAATCTCAGACGCGCCACCATCAGGAACTGATTTTTCCACTCTGGAGAGGAGCGCTGATACCCTGGAATGGATCTTGTCTGTATTATTTTCTCAGATCTCGAGTTGATTCTGGGACAGGGCGGCTGCGAAAAGCTCGATGCTGGGATGTGTTCGCAGAAATTCTGTTTTGCCTTGTTTGGGTATACTGTTTGGGCTTTTTGACACTGGGATGGGTATCTCAGGGATGGGCACCAGATCCCGGGCGAGGAAAGCCAGAGAGCTCTTTACAGCGACCGCTGATCTCCTTGAATTTCACTCGCTCACCTCCACCGACAGGAAAGAAAGTTATACTCGGGGTCTTACAACTCAGTGACCTCAAAAAACGGGGAGTAGGGGACCGGAGGCGTCCCGTTTTCCTTGTGCAGCAGCAGAAAGCGCTGCGGCAGATGCGGGGGGGGGGTGACCCTCAGTCCTGTACCCCTTACTCAAAACCCTCATGACTCAACACCCTGCCCTGCATGTGCCCGTCTCTCTGCAGCAACCCCCTCCCTCGGCCAGACTCAAGTCTTGGTTCCAGGGTGAACTGAACCCATTACCCCAAAGTCGCTAAAATTCCGGAGAAGCCCCCGGAGCCGGCAGGGCCAAACTTCCCAACTCCCCGCCGGCTCCCGCTCTGCCTCCTGCTTCCCCCACGCAAAGTTGATTAAAACCGGCTTCTTGCAAAGCTTCAGCGCCCACTCCAAACCCCACGCGCCGCCACACCGGCAGCCGCCCCCCCCCCCCAAAAAAAGAGCCAGGGAGAGGTGAGGGAGGAATAGACAGATGGGAAAACCTCAAAGACCCAAAGCAGAATCCCGCACCCGGGACAAGATGTGAGCCGAAGGTGGTCAAAGGGGCAGCTCTGGGGAAGAGAGCTAGCCGGCGGGGGCGTGGGGAAGGGGCGCGCCTGCCCCGCCGCCCGGCTGCACTCACCTCAGCGCTGTCGGAAGGGCTCTCCACAGCCATCTTCTGCCACGGGTCCGCCAGCTGCGCCAGCGGCATCTTCCCCCCCTCCCCGGCCCGCCGCCTTCACCACCTCCTCCCTCCTCACCCGCCCCACAGCCGGCCCGGCTCCTTCGTGGCTCGAGCGCAAGGCAGAGTCGAGAAGCCGCAGCAGAACAGCCGCGGCTCCCGAGAGCGAGCTCGACGCCGACACCGACCGCCCGAACGCCCAGCGCCTGGCCACAGCCGCCCGCACTCCGAGCGAGAGCCTCGCGCCGCCGCCAGGCACCAGGGCTCGCCCCTTTCTTCCTCTCCTCCTTCCGCCGCCCGGACTTCGGCTCCGCCCCCCCACCTCCCCTCCCCGCCGGTTCCCGCGCCCGCTCCCAGCAGAACAGCGACCGCCGCGCGCTCCCCCACTTCCGCTCACAACATGGCGTCTAAGCGATACCTGTCTCTCGGAGCGAGGCTGGGCTGCCGCCACCACCACCGCGCGCACCCAGGGGCGTGGCTAGCGCCGGACACGCCCTCGGGTCGCTACGCTCGGCTCCTCCCCTTTCCCACCCCCACCCCTCCCTCCTCCTTCTCCCCAGCTTTGGCTTCTGGGCCTCGCCTACTTTCAGGAAGGGCGAGCCCAAGAGATTTGGGGGCGTTGGCGGGAGATGGGGGTGGGGGAGAGAAATGGGCCATGCGGGAAGGACAAGAGGCTGGGTGACTTTAACTGCCACGAGTCCAAAGCAGGTTGGGGGCTCACTGAGAATGGGGGAGCAGAGTGGTTCGCGCTCAGTTGGAAAAGCTAGGCAGGGCGCTGGGGGCGCAGTCCCGTGCTAGCAGCCCAGGGGCGGAGGCGGGAGATGTCTTTTCGGCCTTTCTCCTCCAGGGGTGCGTGTGGGCGCGCCTAGGCTATGGGCACAGCCCCTCCTGTCCCAAGACTCTCCCTCTTCAGGGTCACATGCTGAGTATTCACCTGACCCCCTTTCCTCCTCCTTGGACGAGGACTCCAGAGGTTTCGTGCCGGGGAGCCAGCCGCATGGTAGGTTCAGCTCCCAGTTTGATTCAGAGCATTTCAAGTTGATTCTCTTGTTAAATTGTTAGTATTTGGCATTTTTTTCGTCCCACACTTCCTCCGCCCCCAATAACCCTTCCCAAGTGCCTAGAGCCCTCGAGTTTCAGCCCAGACTGCCACACCCCTCCCTTGCTACCTATATCTTCAAAGAGAAAACAGAGGTTCCTTAAGGTTGCCCTTCTTGGCAGAGATTAAAGAGTTAGTAAAAATATCTTGTAGGCAGGAGCGCGGGGTTCCTGCTCCTCCGTTGACTTTAAATAAAAGATTAGATTTTTTTTAAAATCAAGTTGGTCGTAGGCGGAGGAGAAAGGGAGAGGGAGGTTATGACTCCTCCTCCTCCCCAAGAAGAGGAAGCCCTGGGTTAAGGGAACCCAATCCCCAGTCGGCATCGGAGCCCCAGAATTCTAAGAGTTTGAGAATTAAGGCCTGGGCACTCAGCGTCGGTTCCAGGAAGGTTCATCGCGCCTGCTGCTTAGGTGCGTTGTATGCCTCGGCAGAAATGTGTAAAAGTCGCTGGGTTGAGTGGAAAGCTACTGCAGCCCCTGGCTAATCGTCCTGCCTCGGGAAGGGGGGAAAAAACACAGGGAAGTCTCCGGCCAGCTTGTTTCTTCAGTCCCCAAGGCCTGGAGGGAGACAGCCCTAGCCTCCCACGCTTGGCTACCAAAGCGCTCCCCCCCCGACCCCTCCCGCTGCGCTCTCCCTGCACGCCTTTTAACAGTTTCCTTTAATCATCCTGGGGATCCAGACACCTGGATAGTGCTCGCCACCCTCCCTTCTGCAGGTGTGAGAATGACCTTAGAGACCCACGCCCAGCAGGCCAGGTCTCTAGGTTTCTTTCCTGGCCCGCCAGAGACAGGTGTTGGGCTCTTTTTGCTGCCATCTGCAGCGTGCCCCTCCAGGCCTGGGAGCCTCATCTGATGAAAGCTCCAACTGTTTAGGGAAGGCAGCCGGAAATTCTTGCTGAGAGCCCTCTCACTCAGCCTTGGACAGCTCACTTTGAACAACAACTAGGCAGGCTCAGAGTCATCTGGGGGAGAGGGACACAGGGGGACGTTTGTCACCCACCATATTTGATTTGGGTGCTGTAAGTCCAACATGGACCCTAACTCACGTTAGTTGGCAGCACCTTCTTGATGTGAAAACACACTCACAGAAGTCTGAAG